TAACACATTTATAAGATTATTTCTTTGTTGCTTTGTATATCCCTCCCCCACAGTATAACCCCTGCTTTCACTATATTTGATGTCAGTATAATTTGTGGAGGAGTTGGAGAAAAACAAGTCGTTTAAGGATACAGGTGGACCTGTTGCAACAATGAAGTACAAGTTGTCATGTCAAAAACGAAAACGAACTTTACAACTTTGGTGCGGGGTGGGGGGGGAGGATTCGGGGGGCGGGGGGAGGCTGGGAAGGGATGTGAAGGGTAAACAAAAGAGGAGGCTGCAATGCTTCATGAGAAATGTACTCATTATCTTGCCCGTGTAATTGTAACCCCTCTGTACAGTATGTTCACAAAAAATAAAAATAAAAAAAGAAGTGAGTACGCTGAGCTGTAGATACCTCGTCAAAGACCTGCTCCCAATAAAGACTAAATTAAATAAAGTAAATATGAAACTTTAATGAAAGCCTATAATACTGAGTACTTATAAGCATGTAAATAGTTGCATAGTAGACAGACAGCTACATAGAATGGAAATAGAATGATATATATATATATATGTAGTTCCATATATACATATTTCCATATATATTCTATTTCCATATATATATATATATATATATATGGAAATAGAATGGTAGCACATTTTTGGTACATTTTGAAAAAGTTACCTAAGTTTTGAAAAATTTTTATAATTGGTAAATCCTACATAGAGACAATATAGGAAATCTCTGTATTTATGTACCATGAAACTATCTCACATTTTAAAACTTAAAAATATAAAATGAGAATGTCTTAGAAATAATTTTTACAGATAAGCTGGTAAATTATAAAAAAAAAAAAATTAACAGAGCCAGGTGCCAGTGGCTCACAACTGTAATCCTAGCTACTCAGGAGGCTGAGATCTGAGGTTCACGGTTCAAAGCCAGCCCAGGCAAGAATGTCTGTGATACTCTTATCTCTAATAAACCACTAGAAAACCAGAAGTGGCACTGTGGCTCAAGTGGTAGAGCGCTAGCCTTGAGCTGAAGAACAGCACCCAGGACCAGGGTCAAGCCCCATGACTGACAAAAAAAAAATTAACAGATTAGCTGGTAAACTATAGAAACCATTCTGATATAACCAGGTTAGATCAGAACAGATGTGTATCTATGTTAATGTACTCACTATCTTGCCCATGTAATTGTAACCCCTCTGTACAGTATTTTCACAATAAAAAAAAATACAGGTTGACCCATTGTAACAATGAGATGTACAAGACACTATGTTGAAAATGAACTATACAACTTTGGGGGTAGGGAGGGAGGAGTTGGGGAGGGAAAGGATGGTAGGGGAAAGACAAAGGAGGAGGTAACAATGCTCAATAGAAAATGTACTCATTACCTCACTCATGAAACTGTAACCCCTCTGTACAGTATCTTTACAATAAAATATATATTAATATTAAAAAAAGAAATGTATGAATGGATCAAGAAAATGTGGTATATATCACAATGGAATTCTATGCCTCCATCAGAAAGAATGACATTGCCCCATT